GAACCAGCTGATATTAACTTGCACTGACAAGGGGCAGGCTTGCTTTCTAATTACTGAGAGAGTTCAGCTGGTCACTTGGGTTGGTACCAACATCTGGTGAAAATTTCATGTCATTAGCACCTCTAGTAATATATTTACTGAGAAAAATGGTGACGTGTTCAATACTTATTTTACCCGCTGTATGTGTGGAGTTCCTTGTGGCCTGTCCTGTTCTTTCTCCACATGTTGTCTTTAAGATCTATTGTTGACAAGATAGAACTCGACGCCAACCATCGCTGATGTTCCTGTCACCATTGTAGTGACCACACACATCAAAAATTAGACTGCATTCCTGCAGTGGGGTGGTTTAGGATTGACCATAGTGAATTTAGTGCAGATTGGCTGAAATATGTGAAATTTAGAGCCAAACGTATATGATTGGCGTGATGTCTGACTTCGYCRCACCACCATGACCACACGTGATCAAAGTTACTGTGCTTGAAAACAAGTGAGATCAACTCATTATCTGTGTTCTGACACAATTTGTTGCAGATTAGGTCAAAAGCGTCAGAGATGGAGCTTTCCAAACCAAAAAAATGTAACTTCCTGTTGTCAGAGGGTGAGTTTTTTGATGATGTCATATGACCACATGGTATGGTCGGGCATGCAGCGTGGATGACTCATTTTAATTTTGGTGTATTTTAGTTTTTCTATGTGAAAGTTCCAGCTTTCTGAAACTGTAACGGATRGACAGAGAGCATTTCTAAGTCCCCTGCCTCGGCGATGGGGGACAWTAAACATACAATCTCTGTTCATTGCTATGCAGWTGACATTCAGATCTATCTGCCATTAAACTTTAAATCTAAGGATTCAATTTTGTTGAACTGACTGGGTGATAGAAAACATGTTGGTATTTTTTTTAAATAAAGCTAGATCATTTTACTCTAATTAAAACAACCTTCTATCAGTTTAGACTTTTAACCAAAGCAAAGCCTCATCTTCCTCTCCCAGACATTTAGAAAGTTATTCATGTTTTTAACTCTTCCTTCTGGACTTTTGGACTTCCTTCTGTCGTGTGCAGCTGCCCGACTAACGACAAAGTATATATAAGATATTACACCAGTACTGGCCTCACTCCAATGACTTCCTGCTCCTTACAGGATCAGTTTGAAGATTTTATTGATAGTTTATAAAGATCTACATCTACATTGCTGCAATTTACTGCTCTTATGGACGTTCTTGATTGTCCCACAAACTGCATAAAAAGGCAGAGGTAATGTAGAGGTTAAGATCCWGTCGCAATATGACGTATTTAGACAAATTATGCTGACATCTGTAAATTTTATCCAACAGGCTGACACACGATGAGGAAGAGAAAAAAAAGCATCATTAGCACCTCCTTTTGGACGTGATCATACCGTGTTGCTAACGACTTGAACAGATATAAAACCTATGAGTAAATTATCCCTACCTTAAACATAACATGTACAAGCTTATTAAAATGTGCTACATTACAACATTAGTGGAAATTCTGCAGAACCTCTGCACAGCGTGAAGAGGAAGCTGTGACGTTGGCAGCAGACACACAGTGACGCACAGCATCAGCTTATGAAACAACTATGACATGTTGATGGAAGTTAGGTGTAAGTTTAGGATAACTTACCAACACATTAATATAAGAGGGCATTTGTTGTCATTCGGAGATCTCAGTGCAGAATTTTGAACATGCTCAAAAGTTTTGAGTTGTGACCCTGGAGCCAGATGACAACTCAGAACAGGACATTCTAAACCCCCAACCTCACCCAGCCTGGCTGTCTTTGTTCTGATAGTGGCCCGAATGTTGGGGTGGATGTAGTATGTCTTCTGGGGTGGGGATTTGGTTGGTGGCCTTTGGGTGGTGGCTGGGGGCCGTGCTGGGCCAGCTGGTTGGCCCCATTGCTGTGGTGGGGGCCTGCCCTAGGTGCCCCCTTGCTCTGTCGGCGGTTGGGTGGGCACTCTTGGCCGGGCCGTCCTTGCTGGGGAACGGTAGCCTCTCTGGGCGGCGGCCCGGCTATGGGCTGGGGTTGGGTTTTGGGGGTCTGGGTGGCTCTGGGCGGGTGGGGTGTTGGTCCCGGTTTCTGGTGGCCTTCGGGGCTCCGT